TGCTGAAGAATATTTTCAATTTTTTTTTTTATTCTCAGTGTGACTGTACGTTTGTCTTTTCTATCTCATGCATAACACGAGGTGGACATTTCGTCCCTGTCGCTTCTGTGACGCGTCTAATAAATCTTTAGCTCTCCCTGCGGATCATGTACTCCGTCACCGTGCCAAAACAGGTGGGCTATATACTTGACGGTACACCCCTGTCCACTGATGAGCCGTCCTCTGTAGGTAATGTCCTTGTCCGCCTGTGTCACTGTGCGGGGACTGATATGGTCTGTCTGACTGGAGCAATCTGTTTGCCAGGTGCCATCTCCCAATCCTGATTTACAGGAGCCCCTCCTGTACCGAAAGACGAGATAAAGTAACGTTTGGGGAGGAAAAGCGTGATACGATCCAGGATGCGTTATCTCCTGCTGACAGCAGAACTCAACGTGGGTCACTGCTTTATCACTTTTATTTTTTTGGGGGGGTTGAGCAGATAATCAGATTTTTAAAATGTTCATGGTCTGTGGTAAACAGAAGGTCATTCTATTTGGCATGTCTTCTGGTTGACTTTAGTCTAAAATAAAAGATTTGTGGGGGTTTGTTTTTTCAAAAGCAATCATTCTTTAAAAACAACAACAACAACAACATACGTTCTTGTTAAAAACTCTTCATCCATCTTTCCAGACAATCAGAGATCGTGCAGAGACAAAAGGTAAGGAAACTAAAACCAAGACTTCATTAGCTGAACACTCCTTCAGTGTTTTTCATCAACTGGCTACATAAAGAGATAGTTCAAATGTTTTAAAATGGGGTTCTGTTGGAAGCTTATAAACAATTATTATCTTACCTGTTGTAGATAGCTTTGTAAACAAGCAAAATTTGATAAAGTAGGGTTTAATTATGACCAGATTGACGAGCTGGCCTACACCAAAGTGGACTGCAATAATAATTTTAAAAAAAGCATTAGTTTATGTGAAAGTTATTTCTTAAATCCTAACATTCTCACCAGGTTACATGGTTATTATTGGAAGTGCTACGTTAGAATCCGTGCAAACAAATAATATAATTTTTTGTAAAAACAAAAAAAGTAATACAAAAGCAACAGTGTGAAGGTTTTATAAAATAGCGTTTGCATAAACGGTGAATTTTTTTTGTATGGTAGTTGTTTCAAGATGGCTGTTACAGTTTAAAGTTATGCCACAGTGTTGGAAAGTCACAACCACAACATATTTTCCCATCAAACCGTACCTACAATTAAACATCTAAAAACAAATTAACAAACTGCATTTTTTTTAAATAATTCCATTCGCAACAAGCTATAAGTTAGCATGTAAAATATCCACTGTACTGCGCACCATATGAAGGCTAATAATTCAGCTAGCGTCGGCTTGTCAGGCTCTAAACATTACAAAGAGCAACACGGCAGAGAAGAAGGAATAATCTGTGCAAAACACAATTATTTTAGAATTATAAATTGATTTGTGTTTTCATTTTTCTCAGCAAATTACGTCTAGTTTTGTTACCTAAATGTCATATGAATTGAACTAAGGAACTTTGTTACAAAATGAAATGGGAAAACTTATTTAATCTGGGCAGGCTTTAACTATTAGTTCTATTAATTCATATCTCATATTTTCAAATAAGGAGCATTATGTTTTGTTTTTTATGTAGAGCATTAAGAAGCATCTTAATCAGGTTTAACGAGAAAATTTAATGAACACTTTGTCTTATAAAAGTAGTTTTGAGTGTTTGCGTAAATGATGAAAAAAATGCTCTTTGCAAACTAAAATTGCATAATTATAGAAAAAGAAGTAAATGGTTCATTTATAACCTTTATAAATAAACTATAGCAACATGTTTATTTGCAATTCAAATAAAATAGTCCAAAAAACTAGTTCATATTGTCCTCAGACAATGAATGCATGACAATGCAAAAACCAACACAGTCATGTTCCTATTTTTAGTATCCTACACCATTTTATGTTTTCTATTTCGTTTCATATTACTTCTTTAATCTACTTTTCATTTTATATTCTTTTATATGATTGTTTTATTGTGTGTACTGCAATCTGTGTTTTTTGTTTAAAACAGGTCTCTCTTGTAAATGAGTCCTCGTGGCTCAATGAGACTAACCTGTATAAAGAAAAGTTTAATTGTTATTATTATTATTGAATTATTATAATTGATTATTATTATTATTATTGAATTTGGAAAGAACATTCATTTTGCAACTTGTACATTTTGTGGAACTAATGAGCGAAGATAGCAGCTTTTTATACTTCTTTTGGAAAGAGAAACTGGATAAACAAGCTAACAGTTAGCTAAACATGATACAATCTGTTGATGGGTAGCACAGGAAATTTTTCAGGTTTTGTTATCCCACTGGTCTGTGGGGCTTAATAGTCTATCCAAACACTTTGAAACAGTTCAACAGTTCCAAACTGCAAAGAGCAGCACTTACCTACAACAGGTAAGATATTTATTTATAACCTTTCGACAGAACTCTACTTCAAAACATCTAAACTATCACTTTGTTTTCTTTCTCTCTGTTCACATTAGCAGTAATTGCTCACAATTAATGTTTGAATTTTTCGATTGTCTATAGTTTTGCATGTGTTTATTCATATTTTCTCCTCCTGCTCATTACAAACACACACTGACAGAAAATAGTTACCTTTCCCAGTTATTAAATTAGACGTTTGTGGCCACGAGAGAGACTTTTGTAAATAGTTTCTTACAGAAGCTTTGAATTTTCTGAGGAAAAATACTGTAGAAGTTACTATATTCTGTTTTTTCAGATAAAACAAAGTCACAGTGAACTCATTTTGTACCTACATGAGATAAGAACCGGATCTCGTCACATGTCATTAATAACAACTAGGCTGGATAAAGCTGAGGGTCCTCAGTCAGCTGCACTAACGTCGACTCTCCGAACATTACAGACGATATTTTACAAGCTAACAGCAGCGGACTGCAACAGAGAGGGCACTCATGTAGTTTATGTACAAAGTGAGGTGATGTGAAAAAGCCACAAACCACCTTTACAACCGAATCTACAAAACGGATCTATTCTAATACCGAACATGTAGAAGATAGTACTTTATTTATTCGTTTGCAGAAGCGTCTTTGTCCTTTGTGTGTTCTCAGACAAATTACTTTGAATGAGCTGGAAACTTCTATGATTCATAATTCCACACGATGCATCTGTCGGTCCATGGGATTTTAACTTTTCTAGCCACACTTTTATCATTTCCTTTCGCTTTTTTTTTTTTTTTTTTTTGCTCGGCTCAAACAAATCGTGCGGAGAATGATTCACTCTCCGCTTGAAATGCCGTTCAGCATATTGGCACTCGATTCAGTCAAATGGGCAAGTGATTGCGCACTTTCCAAAGACATGAGTTGATTCACATCAAATCAGATTTTATCCACGTAACGAGGGTTCTCAGGCGTGATTTTTTTGTTTCTTCTTTCGTTCGGTTTTTTTTCCTCCAAGTCCCTGCAAATTGCTCCCACGGGGCATGGAAGGCAAATAAGCAGATATGGCAGCAACAGATTGAGTCTGTTTTCTACACAGCGACGGTCAACATGTAATCCACAAATATATTCCACTATTGCCTATGGTTTTAGAGCTATCACTGCGCTGGGTTTCTCTCTTTGTCCCTTATAGAAAAAAAAAAACGGAGTTCCACTTGGTCGAACATCTCATATAAAATGACTTGAAAGGCTTCTTGAGGCAAGAAGGCAGATATTTAGTCCTGGCTTCCTACAACAGCTGGAAACCTCTGAGCTGTAGTCCTGCAGATGTGAAAACAAAGACCAGGCCAAGGAGCAGAGTTGAGGGGTGGAAGCGGTTCAGTTGAGCTGGTGAGCTTCTGGGAATGGCGTTCGATGCGCTGGACTCGTCCAACCGGTGGTTCTTAAAAAAACAAAAAAAAAGTCATTAATTCATTATTTGCTTTGAGGACTTGGGTGAACATTTGTTTTAAAGGAGCAAAAACAAGTAAAACATGCACAATGTGGGACTGTAATAATATTTTTCACAACAGTAAGATGTACTGTTTTATATATATAAGGAAACAACATTGCTGTCAAATCCACTAAAGCTTGGTCTTTTGAGAACCGTGGAACTTGAATGCACAGAAATTAACTTACCGGACAAAACGCCGTGCCCGCAGTTTGATTGGAAACCAGATTTTGGACCTTCAGGGACGACAAGATGGAAGGCAGAAAAACATTAAAACTGATTTTATTTTTGTTATTTGATTGTCTAACAGACAGACTGAGGCTTTTATTTCTTTGAAGACCTATGGAGTTAGAGGACTTGTGGACCTTTAGATGTAATTTTCCACCTTAAAGCTATAGTTCAGATCTTCTGAAGTGGGGTTTTGTTGAAAGGTTATAGACATCTAGTAAACCTGGTGTATGTGTTTCTTTCAGCTACATCAGTTTGAAGAAGCAGATAAGAAAGAATGTGGCCAAGACTGAAGTTGCTGTCTTAAAACAACTCTAGGCTCAAAATGGTGGTACTTGCTACAGAGGATTGGACAGTGATTTCCAAATAATCAAAGTCTATTTAAAATGGGTAAATTCAAAGAATTAATGCAAACTTTTTTATTATTATTTTTTTTTTTATAGGTTTTTTTTTTTTTTTTGTCTTTTTTTAACCAGGGTGCTTTTTCAACTTAACACATGCAAACAAACCCCCTCCAGAAAAAAATAAAGAAAAACTACTTGTAGCACACTAGAATCTGTTCATGCCATCATACCGTCGTCCGTCCGTTTTACCAGTAGAAAACCACGCATACACGGAGACAACATGCAAACTCTACCCAGAAAGGTCCCCGGACAGGATTTGAACCGGAGCGACCTGCTCGCTGAGAGGAAGCAGCTCTACCGACTGTGCCACCATGCTACCCTCATCATAGTTTATTTTGAAAGAATTATAAAGTAGAAACTAGGGTTATGGGTGAGTTCATCTAGAATGTGCAAGTACATGTGTATCAAATTTATAAAGAAAAAAATACTGTAGAAATTTGAGTGTTTTGCTAAAAAATGGCTCATTTCTAATAGTGCGACTATTTTATGTAGCTTTAAACCACCGTTAGTTTCAGATTACACAGTTTTCCTGGCAGAATATTAGGCCTTTAAGCTTAACTGGGACCCTGTACACAATTTCATTCCACCACATGTACCACATTTGATGCAAACAACAAATAACGAAACTTTGACTTTGACAGAAGGGCCCCGAACTAGAGTTGCATTCGGGTCTAAAAATTCCGGCCCGGCCTGAACCCGTATCGTTTTTTTACAAGCCCGACCCAAAACCAACAAATTAACTATAATTACAGGCCCAACACAAAAAAAAAAAAAAAACACTTTTTTTTTTTAATTAAACTTTTACTGATTTTGTAAGCAAATCAGTTTGACATGATTGTTTTTAAAATCATAATTCAAAGAAAGGAAGATATAAGATTTATTGTTAATTAACAAGTCACCAAATGGATATTAACATACAAAACAAATAACCTAAATAAAATCAACTCTAAAGATAGGCTATTATACAGATGAACAAAAATATTTTTACTTTAGAGCAAAATTATTTGGAAAAATATTGAACGAGGCTATTTTAATTAAATGTGCTGCTTGCTTAGGCTTTTGTAGATGCTGCTACTTTTTTCACCGCAGATGACAGCAGGTGCAGAGACGCGCGCGGCGGGTGATCAGAAAATCCATCTGAGCTTAATTGGACTTGTTTTAATTTTTTTTTACCTTTTTCAACCAGCCAGTCGGACCTGCCTCCTCCTCTACAAGTAGATTAACACAATTTTATACTGTACATTCTTATTTAGTTTTCTTTGTGCTGTATTCGTAAAACCGCATCAAAGCCCGAGACCGGCCCGCACATTACTATGGCCCGGGCCTCTGCCTGAATTCGGGTCGGGACAGGCCGGGCTTTGAGCCCGGGTTAGAAATGACAGCTCTACCCCAAACTTCCCTGGAAGTGCTACAGCTAGCTGATGCCGATGCTGTTTGGGCTTGCAAATAACCCTGAACCTGCTTGAACAGTATCTTCAAACTTCTCATTCAAAGAGTTATTTTGACCATAAAATATATTAATTTTTCATAACTTTTCCACAAAACCCCACTTCAGAAGGTCTGAACTCTCAATGTTAATTAAAATTTAAAAAAAAACTCTGTAACATTTCATATTTGTGCTTGTTCAAGGTTAGAACAGTTTAATATATTAAAACTTTTCTCAGTTTACTTCAGACTTTTTCAACCACATCTAAAAATACCATCTTGCATTTGCACATAAAAATAGATAAACGAACACAGAGATACAGCATTGGTGAATAAAAAAATGATAAAGTGACGCTTTAATGTTTGGAAATAGAATAAACACTCCATGTTTTGGTTCTTAAGTGGAAAGATTTCTATGAACCAGGGTCCCGGAGAAGAATGATTAATTGCTCTATCAGAGGTCTTTCCTCCTAAAGGATGTTTTACTGGTGATAAATCACATTATCGCTATTGAAAGCCAATATGATAGATTGTTTCGGTTAGAGGAGGCTATGTGATATCATCTCATTTATAAATAAAGCTCCAAAGTATTTATCAGAGGAGAATAGCAAATATCTAGAGAGTGCTGGTCATGCCGAATTTGCCCAAAAGACTCAAGGCGTCATCATAATGGTTCAAAAATTTTTCTAAAATAAAACTTTTGTATGATGAAAAAAATGGTTATACATTGAAAATGACATGCAGATGACAACATGTGTTGAGTTAAAGGAACTGGCTTTGAGTGTGTACTGGCATTAAAACAACAAAGCTCTATAATACAATTCTTTCCCACTATTGGCCGTATACTGGGGGTGGGCAACGTTTGGCTGATTTTTTAAATGAAATGTTGCCTTTTTCCTTTGCACACCCCGTTACACCCTCCTTTAGGCCAATTCAGAGGTTACACAGGCACCCAATTAGCTTTGACATGACTGTGACTCCTCGCTGACATATCATCTTTCTGCCCAGGAGGGTGGACTCTGTGCATCCTGTCATAAAGCCATCCCTGCCTTACCAAGGTGACATAGATGTCTGATGCTCAGAGGCTTTGAATTCAGCCCTTATTGACATTTAGATCTCCAGTTGGTTTCTGCCCCTTTTTCTGTTTTAGTAGTTTCTAAAGTTTCCATTATCACAGAAGGAACAAAGTCTTGATCGTCATCAAAGGATTTATCAAGTTGAAGTGTATTTAACTTTTATTTTGAAAATTCATAAATCAGGGTAGTAGCATGTACATATTTGTATTTTTGTTGTGTTGTTGTTCTTTCAGCTGCTTCCTTCTTCAGGAGGCCTCACAATGAGCAAACCTGTATGAAGATTTGGCAATTGTTTTACACCCGATGCCCTTCCTGATGTAATATGGGCTCAAATCCACAGCCTCAGGATTACAAGACTGACCACCAAGCTACTGTAGCCCATGCATTTTCATTTTAGTATTGATTAAAAAAAATATTGACTCAAAGAAACAATTACACATGCATTAGATGAATCATTTTTGCAAAACTTAAGGTAATCAAACTCAATAAAAAAAAGTCTGATACGGATGTAATTTGGTTCACATGTGGGCTAGTGACGGACATGTAAAGTATTCCATTAGCAAGGTCTTGACCAGTCTAGAACAAGCTTCAGAACACGAGTGCAGAATAGTATTGTATTATGTTCAGAAATTAATATTGGCTATTGTGGGCAAGTATTGCAGTGCCAAGGAGCGAGAACCATATTCACACCACTAATCTTTCCCACTTCCTGCTCCTCAGCTTCTATGACCTCTACTCTTCTTTCCCTTTCATCCAGTTCATTCATTAGCTCCTCAAAAGTCTCCCTCCATCATCCTGTCACACTCTTCTTACTTGTTAGCACATTACAATTCATATCTTTAAAAGTCTAACCTGCTGCATATCCTTTCCAGCCTGATCCCTCTGTCTTACCAAGCGGTACAAGTCCTTCTCGTCCTCTTTAGAGTCCAGCCTCCCATACAAATCATCATATCCCTTCTGCTTTGCCATAGCTGCTTCCCTCTTTGCTCTACATAACCTCTCTTCATTTCTCTGTCATATTTTTTCTTGGCTAACCTCTTTGTCTTCATGCACATTAGTATTCCACCACAATATTTCTTTATTATCTTTTCTCTGATACCCAAACAATCATTGTTTCCTTAGAAAAAAAATCCTAAAACAAATATATATTTTTTTTAAATTTACCTGCAAAGTCCCACAGATATCATACGAGTTGCCATTAAGCTTCAGTTGGGTCACGTCTGTCTGTATGTCCACAACATTGTTTGTTGGGTTTTTCCCCCTCCGGGTGATGCTCGGATCTACAGTGGGATTAATTGGGGGTTGTGGTTGCCATACACCAACGTCAGTACCATTTCCAAATGCCTGGATGGCGTTACCTACAAGAGAAGGACATACTGACTCTACTGGTTTCTGTAAACAATTTTTTTTAACTGAGCATGGCAGGAAAATGTGAAATTTATGAGAATATATGCACCATAAGGTATGACTTTTATATCAGCTGTAAAGATAAAGCAATCACTAAAATGCCCTCTGAGCTATTTTTCTTTTCAAAAGTTATCCATGTATACATAAGTGGGGAAAAAAAGCTACCATTACAGAGATTGTTTGACAATTGTAAAACTACAGAAATAATATGTCAAATCAATCAAAAAAAAAAAAAAAATCATTATGTTTGAATCCACTGTCTCAAAACCTGTAATTTTAAATGCCAATCCAAGATTGGCTCATTTAATTAAAAAAACAATCTTGCATCAAGGAGAATAATAGCAGAATGTAGAGACATTTATTATATAAAAGAAGCCGAATGAAGGAACCTACGCAGACATCGATTGTTGGTGAAAAATTCTGCAAATTTTTCGCAGTCTGCCTTGTTGTTCCCACTGCTGCTGCAGTTGCACCACGGTGACAGGCTAATACCAGAAGACCGCAGATAATTGGGAGTCATCACTGTACCTGCAGCCCAAACAAGAGTAAGAGTTAGTCATTGCAGCTGTAGTCCTTACACAAGGGTGAAAATTCCCTAACAGGACATTTGGGGTTTAACAATAACTTCATGCTGAAAAAATATTCAAGTCAGCTTTTTCTGTCCGTCCATTCATTCAAATAAGCCCTAATGTCAACACAGTTAGTTAACTGTAGTCTTGGAGAGGCTTGGTAACCAAGAAATTGCTGCCTTTTTGTATACGGAGCACAAAGTTGAGCAAGTTTACTGCTATTTCTATACACAAGCAGATCTTGGTGTCTAGAAATAAAAATGTGTGAAGTTGAAATCACTTTAAAAGCTCCATGGGACATTGTTTTCCTATTTTTTTTTTTAATGAAACTTCATGGTAAGGAAACTGAAACGAGGTCTGTTACTACGTTGTGCTACATGAACTAAAATGAAAAGTTCACTCTGTAGATTTGCAGTTTGTGATCTGATGTGTTAGGCTGATTGGTAACTCTAAATTGTCTCTAGGTGTGAGTGAGAGAGTGAATGGTTGTTTGTCTCATTTGTTTATATGTGTCCCTATGATGGACTTACGACCTGTCCAGGGTGCACCCCAACTTTTGCACAGGGATGGCTGGACATGGGGGCCAGTGACCCCCGCAACCCGATAAGGAAGAAGCAGGTAAAAGGTAATGGATGGATAATCTGATTTGTTGCTTGATAGCTTAATTGAATGAACCAGAAATGGACAAAGATTCATGGTTTGCTACTGAATATGGGACAATAATTCAATAACGGCTTCTAGCTAAAATTCTATGGGCACAAAAAGAAGTATCTTCATGGCATGAATTTAACCAAAAAAAAACACCAAACATGATTAAAATTTATAGTTTGCTGGTATGTAACAATTAGATGCTAGATAGCTCACTAGTACAACAGGTATCACATCTGCAATAGGTTGTTACCATGATCTTCTCATGATCCCTGTTATAGTCTTGGCATGGAGCCAGCATGGCCAGTCCTTTAAATTCTTGGTCAAGAATATGGTACCATCATGCTCCACCACACTCCACCTAGGACCTCCCAAGATGTGGCCACATCTCACCACAGTGTTGCTAACAGAAGGCTATATATGTGCACCTGTGTTTTTTTCTTTAGAATCAGATCATGTCTATCTTTTGAGACTAGAAAACACCTTGTTGCTGCCACTGTATTGGTCCATCTAGCTTCTGGTCTTTTGGAGCCCTTACCCACCACAGTTTTCAGTAGAACCTCCTTAAATAGACTGCCCTATGTACCTGCAGATTTAGTTATGGGGATAATCTCATTTATAAAGTCATCTTGGGTTTACTTCGCCCTTATCTCCTGCCCTATATTGTTAAGAAGTCCTCATGAGGCTGCTTCCTCAGACTGGAATCAACTGCAGAAACACTTGAAGTTGAAGGAGTTGGACTTTTTCAATGTTTTTAAGGCCAATCAATGAATTTGTTAACGAGGCATCTGTTTCTAAATATTTTAAAGTGTATTAATATTTGTCAGTTTTATGGGTGTGTTGTTCTGTTTTTTGTTTTTTTTATATTTATCATCATGTATTTTAATTATGTTTTGATTACTGTGGTTTTACGATTAATGTTTCTGCTGCCATTCTTGGCTAGGTTGCTCTTGAAAAGCAGATTTTTAATCTCAACCTCAATCTCAGTGCTGGGATGGGCTTGCGACCTGTCCAGGGTGTACCTCATCTCTCGCGCAGTGACTGCTGGACATGGGCACCAGTGACCCCCATGACCCAAAAAGGAAGAAGTGGGTAAAGATAATGGATGGATGGATTGCCTCCAACAGCTCATCTGTCTGGTAAAGTGCATGTGCAGCTTGCAAACTGTCCAGCACCACTGTAAAACTTTTTTTTTTAAATTTCTTATTTAGTCTCAGATTTAGCCTATTTGAATAAGTTAAAACACATTTTAGTTGTTTATATATATATATATATATATATATATATATATATATATATAAGGTACAAATAATTAGTCCATCTTTGGTAAGATCTCACCAATCAGACCAGAATAAGCGAGCAGACAGTCGGCGTAGTTTTCTCTAAAACAGCCAGATTTGGAGCTACTCTCTGACTGACAGTTGCTGAAGAAATCTGCCAGCCTCGACCTACAAGAGAGAGAAAAAAAAGACAACGGTTTATGCACATTATATATGCGATACGTGTATCGAAATACAATTTAAAAAATAAAAACCTCAAGAAAAAAAACATGTTTCTTTTGAAAATTTTAAATGAGAAACTAATGTAGCTTTAAGACAATACTTACATTTTGCTAAACTTCCAAGTAACATATCGGTGCTTTTCAAAACGTTTATATCTCAAATTATGTATGGAAGAAAATATATCTTAGTCATTTAACTGTGATGTATTATGGATTTAAAAAAATATATAACTTAACATTATGAATGTCTATGTTTTAATTTTGCACCAGAACTCTAATAGAGTGTGTCTAACAGAACACATACAAAGTCTAATTTTCCATTGCATGGCATTATATACTGTATTTGGGAATTTTTAGTCACTATACTAATTTAAAAGCGCAATCATTGTTTTGTGCCGTTTCGTCTCGTTTTTTTTTTTAAATGATCACATTTACCGGTAGTTCACTTTAAGATCTGCAGAAAAAAGGAAGTCAATCTTCAGCTCAAAAAGAAGAAAGCTATTCTCTTTTTATTCACCGTCTCCTAACTTTAACCTAAATCACAATGCAATAACTTTACCTTTCACTGGAAACCCAACCTTATTTCTACAAGTAGCTTTTTGATTTAACAACTGCAAATTACCTTAACAAAATCATATATGCCACCTAGACTATACATATATAGACTAACAATGCTTTACCAAATATCTAATGTTTAAACTTCTAATTAGGTTACTGAATTCTGACTCAAAAATCAGATATTCCTTGTTTTTCTCAACCAGATGATAAATGTTTTTCTATTGGTCTTTACAAATGGTATGGCATTAGCTCAAAGAATTCATGATTAACAATTACTATGAAAAAAACAAGAAAAAGGTAAATAATACTGAACAAAAATATTTGACTTTTTCTATGTACTGTATACAAAAAGTATTTTCTCTCAAATATTGTTCACAAATTTGTGTAAATCTGTGTTAGTGAGCACTTCTCCTTTGGTGAAACAATCCATCACTGGTGTAGCATATCAAGATGCTGATTAGACAGCATGATTATTGCACAGGTGTGCCTTAGGCTGACCACAATCAAAGGCTACTCTAAAATGTGCAGTTTTATCACACACCACAATGACACAGATGTTAAAGTATTGAAGGGGTGTGCAGTTGGCATGCTGACAGCAAGAATGTCCACCAGAGCTGTTGCCTGTGGACTGAATGTTCATTTCTCTACCATAAGCTGTCTTCAAAGATAATTTGGCAGTACATTCAACTGGCCTTACAACCGCAGCCCATGTGGAACCACACCAGCCCAGGACCCCCACATCCAGCATCTTCACAAAGATCATCTGAGACCAGGCACCCAGACAGCTGCCGCAACAATCGGTTTGAATAACTGAGGAATTTCTGCACAAAGTGTCAGAAACCGTCTCAGGGAAGCTCATCTGCATGCTCGTCATCCTCATCTCAAAGGTCCCATTCCCATCCCAGTTCCATCCCGGTCCTAACAGTTCTTCCCTCAATTTTATCCTTGAATGGTGCCCCTACTGAGTTTGCCGATTCATCGGGGTCCCCACCTGACTGCGGGCAATGCTCACATTTGATGGCGTATGGCACGTTGGAGAAACGTTCTCTTCACTGATGAATCCCAGTTTTCACAGTAGGGCAGATGGGTGTGTGGTGTGTGTATGGAGTCATTGTGAATTGAGTGGCCCACGGTGGCGGTGGAGTAATGATATGGGCAGGCGTACATTAAGGACAATGAACACAAGTGCTTTTTATTAATGGCATTTTGAATGCACAGAGATACCGTGATGAGATCCTGAGGCCCATTGTTGAGCCATTCATCCACGACCATCACCTCATGTTGCAGCAGGATAATGCACGGCCCAATGTAGCAAGAATCTGTGCGCAATTCCTGGAAGCTGAAAACATCCCAGTTCTTGCATGATCCAGTTCCTGACAATATCTAGCAACTTTGCAAAGTCATTGAAGAGGAGTGGAGCAACATTCAACAGGCCACAATCTACAACTTCAACTCTATGTGAAGGAGATTTGCATTGCAGATGTGGATGCATGTGGCAAATGGTGGTCACACCAGACACTGGTTTTCAAACCCCATTTAAATTCCACACCTGTGAGGTGGATGGATTTTCTCAGCAAAGAAGTGCTCAGTACAGAATTTACACAAATTTGTGAACAATGTTTGAGAGAAAAAAATCTATTGTGTATTTAAAAAAAAGTCTTAAATCTTTGAGTTCAGCTCAAGAAAAATGGGAGCAAACACTAAAGTGTTACGTTTATACAATTGTGATGAAGAACCTCAAATGTAAGTGTGTATGATGTAATAATCAGCCCAGCTGGCTGTTATTGAATTTTATTACTCTAAAGAGTGTTGCTTTAATAACTTAGACTAGTTCAAACATGTCAAAAACATGGATCACTACCAGCTAGTTAAGACCAAATAACTGACGTAGAAACTGTGAGAAAAAAAAGAGAAATTTGAAAAAAAAAATCTGGATTTTTCAACAGACTGCTAAGTGTTAGTCTGTGTGCTAGTGTGAGCTCTCATGTTGAATATTGAAGGCTTTTAGATCAAAACTTTTAAAATGCACATTAAAGTGAGAGAAAGGGTAAGAGGAATAGAATTAAGTGTCTCTAAAATCAGCTGTAAGTGAAGTAGTTCTGAAGACAGGTGATGAATGAGTAATTTGGTACTGTAGTTTTCTTGTAGTTTCACATAATAAGTCAAAACAAAATGTGACCTGTGTTGGCAAAATGAGTCACAATGAGGAATTTTTCCATACTGAGCTATAATTTTCAAATTCTCCACCAGAAATTTTCAAATAATACGTGGTTTGTTGAAATTTGATAATTTATTACCTAGATAGTAACAAGCTAGTTTTGTATATGAGAGTACCAGTTTGAAACGTCTACTTTTAATGTTGCTGGGAATTTCAGCCCCATATTTAAAATGGGGATTGCCCAAGCTTAACAATTACATCAAACAACATACAAAGGGATTTCCCAAGGCAATGGCTGAAAAATGACTAATTTCAAAGACAAACAATTATTTTGGAAGACATACCAGTTAGAGAACTTGGAATCAATGGTAGATAAAGAAGACAATGATATTTTAGTTACCAGGATTGCTAGAGGGGTCTCATTGTGACACATATCCCAAATATGGCAAAACTCAATCATTTCACTTTTTCTGCAGTCCAATTCATTTTTCAAGCACAAGTCGTCAACGAGATTCATCTGTTTGAATGTTCACATCAAACATGCATATGAAAAAGGATAGATTTGGAAAAATAAGTCTCTTAAGGCTACCCAGTTTTACCTGCAGATGTAATTGGTCTTGCATGTGTTCTGGAGAGACAGACAATTGGGTCTGTCTTTATCCTCGTAGGAACAGATCGGTACGATGGTTTGCCGCCTGCGCTCGGCGCATGCTGTCCTATCTCCCGTTGGACAGGAGCAAAAAAGCATCCCGTAGCTGTATTTAGTTGGAACCTTGATTTCGGGAACAACACAAAACACAATGATGTAAATCTTTTAACTTTCATGTAATCCACAAGATATAAATCCTCTTGGAAGCATCTGTTCCCAGAGACACTTCAGATCCAGTGTGGCTTACACCCAACATCAAGAGCAGTTTTCATAGAGATAACAACACATGGAGTTGCGTTTGATCACAACCGGGACTTCTACAAAGAAATTGGATTAAAAGGGAGTTCAATGTAAAAACACGATGAAAGCTTTTTCCTGGTGATTTGTCTCCTAGGATACAGATTAGCTTGTGTCAACATCAAAGTCAAATGCAATAAAAAGCTCTCAAACCTGCTTAATTACCTTGTCAAAGAACTGCCGTAGAGCCTTGTGGCATTTGCGCTTGTTGCACACTTCAGAAGCGGACACCCTGCTAGTGCAGGGGTTGATGTAAGCAGAGCGATATTTTTTACACGTGTCGTTCAGGTTACAGGCCTTGGCAGCATTCAAACAGTTGTTCTCCTTAGGGGAAGCAGGCTCAGCTAAGACAGAGGACAGAAAAGGATTTCACATGTAGCAATTATGTGTAATAATCAGAAACTCTTGTCGTTGAGTCACCTTGCTTTCCTTTTTTTTTTTAGTATAGTTCCATCACAATTGGATGAATTTCTAACTAGTATGATATAAAATTACATGTTGCATTAAAAAAAAACTAATTTAACTGAAAAAATACCTTTGAAATCTCTATTTCTGCAGGAAAATCTTAATAAATATATTTTGCTACAGTGTAATATTAGGTACTTCAGCAATATAAACGATATTGTGTTTCTAGCATTTCTGCATCTATTATCCAAATGATAGGAAATTGGAGATTACTCCAGAGACACAGCGGGAGTAACGCTTTAAAAGAGCCTTTCAATTTTCCCTCAGATGTCTTTTGTATTTTAAGGTGTGAAAGCCCAATTTGTGAGAAATTTACTCTGAATTTGCTAAATGAAATGACAAAATATTAAACCCATGAGAGCTTTGAGCCCAAGTGAGTTCAGTTGCTGCATTTATAGTCTCTTACAAAGAATTTGTTCTATAGTTGATGGCTTTGTTGGTTATGTTATATGTAGGTAGTTGGATTGAATGACTTTTATTCCTAACATCAATCCAAATAATCTGGTCCGCATGGGAAAGTAGAGATTCTATGAAGATGTATGAGTCTCAGAAGTAGTCACACAAGCATACAAGATTTGTATGTGTACAATACGAACCACAAGCATACCACAAGTTTTACACTTGTTAACTACAAGATTCACAAATGCAAAAACCCATTTTCAAATGTACACATTTCAATTTGCACAAGTAGGAATATTCTGCAAATGCAAGTTGTCAAATACACATGCACAAATCAATTATTGTGAATGAATCAGTCAACACGAGTGCACGGATCAGTTTGCCTGTGAAGGTGACTTTTGAGACTTTCTTACTGCTCCAGATTTACAAAGGTGATGCTGCATTCAAGGCTGGTGAAAAGCTGGGAAATGTGAGCTTTACCAGAATTACTGAGTTAAGAAAAGTTTAATTTCTAACTTGGCACAATAACTCATAACATCTATATTAAAACACAAATGATTAAATTAACATTACTGGATTCCAAAAATGTTAATTAAGGGAACAACTATACAATGAACAAACTAAAATGAGCAGGTTATTCTTAATCTGGAAAGTTGTTCTGAAAAATAAAAATACTTGAAAAATATAGTTTCCTAGTAGTTTTTCCACAAGTAGTATAACCCAACCATGGTTGATGTTTTATTCAGTCCACAAAGTCGACATTTACTTCATGTGGAAAAACTACAGGGAAAATTAATTTATTTGTTTGTTTGCTTGCTTGCGTGAACTGTACATTTAAAATAAACTACTCAAATTGGTTAGGTTATTTGTTCTTCTGGAAAACATAAAATAAAATACCAGAAACATATATTTTCTGGTAGTTTAATGGAAAAATGTATACCAGAAAATTATTAGTTCTAGTATTTTTATCAGAGGAAGTAAATCCTAGAAAAAAAGTTTTTTCCTGTTGTTTTACAAGAGGAAGAATTACCTAGCCATAATTTTAGTTAAGTTGTACAGTCCACAAAATTTATATTTTCTTCTTGTGGAAAAAACTACAGTAAAACTATTTTCCCACAGTATTTTTAGCAGAACAAGAAAATATTGGAAAATATATTTTAGGTGTATGTGCTTATGTGTATATAGGGGTTGTAAGCTATTGTGCGAAATTAGAAATGTGTCTTTTCTCAACAACTAAGTGATTCTGGTAACAATCAGATGTCCTAGCTTTTCATCAGCCTCGAACGCATCATCACTTTTGTGAATCTGGAATAGAATTGCATTCAGGCCTAAAAAATCCGACCTGACCCGGAGTCAGCCCGTAGCCAATTTTTCCACGCCCAACCTGATCTGACCAGTTTCCCTGTAATTACAGGCCCAAACCCAACAAATAAATAAATAAAATTAAGTTATTACTGCTTTTGTAAGCAAATCAGTTTGACATGATATTTTGAAAACATATTTCAAAGAAAGGAAGATATATTTCTTGTTTAATAAAAAGTCACCAAATGAATATTAACATACAAAATGAATAGCCTAAAAAAATCAACTGTAAAGATAGGCTATTATACAGATGAACAAAAATATTTTTAGAGTAAAATTATTTTGAAATGCATAGAACAAGGGTATTTTAATTGAATGCGCTGCTTGCTTTGGCTTTTGTTGCTTCAGATGTTGCTACTTCCTTCACCGTAGATGACAGCAGGGTGCGGAGCAGAATACGCGCAACCAGTGATCCATCCGTCCGGCCAGCGGACATTCGTGGTCGATAATCCGGTGATCCACCTGAAGCTTAACAAGACCTTTTTTTTTAACTTCTTTCAACCGGCCGATCAGCGGACGTGCGCGGCCAATGATCCGGTGATCCATCTGAAGCTTAACAAGACTTTTTTTAAACATCTTTCAACTGGTCGGTCACACATGAGCATGCACCTGACCTGACACACATCAGCAGGTTTCACTGGGCTGGCTTTGTAGAGTGAGTTCTCCTGTTTTAAAACCGCATCAAAAGCCCAAGACTGACCCAGCCCGCTCATCAAGTACATAATTTTGGCCCGACCCAGCCCAAATTTTGGGCCGAGCTGGGCCCAAGCTCAGGTTAGAAATCGCAGCTCTAATCTCCAGCGGTAAGAAAGTCTTAAAAATCACATTCACAGGCAAGTAGGTCTGTGCACTAGTATCAACGGATTTGTCCACAATAGGCGATTTGTGCACGTGTATTTGACAATTTGTACGCACAGAATAGTCCTACTTGTGCAAATAGAAATGTGTTAATTTGAAAAACTGTTTATGCATTGTGGTACGCTTGTGGATCTTTTTGTACATGCACAAATCTTGTTCGTTTGTGTGACAATTTTTGAGACCAATTTAATCTTCAAAAGGTTCCAGCATCAATATGGAGTTCACCATTTCTTCTTCTCTGTCACAACTCACTTTATTGTGTGAATTATTAGGCATTCACCCTATAGTTTCCTTGTTTCTCTTTATTGTGTGAATCCATATTAAGAACTCACACTATTCAACATTTTTCAGTCAGGTCATCTGGACAGTTTTTTTTTTTTTTTTGTGCTGAAATGTTTTGTCTTTGATCCATCCGGAAGGTTTCATCAGTCAAGGTAACACACAACAAAACTGATTCTTCCCTCAACAGCTTACTCCAAAGTGGAACAAACCAGTTTTGCTTGTGATAAGATGGTCTCTTTGGTACGCCCCTCCTCCATTGCCCGCCCTCTTCCTTGTTGATGTTTCCTTGACTGATGAAGCCTTCCGGATCAAAGGCAAAACGTTTCAGCAAAAAAAAAAAAAAAAACTGTCCAGATGACCTGACTGAAAAATGTTGGATTGTATACCTGGATTATTGAGCATGGACTTTGTTGTTCACTCACACTATTGTTTTTGTTTTTCTCTTTTTTAACTAGTTTTTTAAGCCGCTTTCAGCAAAATCACTGAGCAATCAGCATGCAATTTCTCTAGTTTGACTAAACATTCACATTTTATCCACTCTTCCACACTTTTGTCAGAATCCAGCTAATTTTTCAGCACTTTGTTCCTTTTTTGTTATTGTTTTGGAGTCATCACTTTGTTACCTGTTTGAACTCTATTTTTTTAGGGAAACTGGTGTGTTTCTAGCTGTGAAACTAAATCATCAGAGCTTCCCTGACAAAAATAATAGCGCTACAAAACCCACCATTATGACTTCTAACCACTTTACTTAATGATTACCATTTTTATTGTATTTTCTTGTCTCATCTCACATGTCTGAATGAGATACTACTTTGTTCTGCTTTATAAATAACCCAAAATGACAACATGACATCTCTCACTTTTTTTCTCACTTGTTGTGGCTAAAGTCCCTTCTGTTCCACCAACTTCTGCATGGTAACACAAACTATCCTCAGCCTCGACATGGAAGAATGAACCCTGTATTTTTTGTCTTTTGAGGTGGAATTGAAGCTCACTGCACTTGTTCATGCACCACAGAATGAGCTGTGATTAAATCTGAATACAATCTTGAACCTTGGGTTAATCACATATTACAAAATCCATTACTTATAGCTGACAAGTGCCCAGAGATGTGGGCTGTGATCCTTGAGTTCCTGTTTGGAGCTCTCAGGCCAAAGGTGTGACAGTTTTATCTCAATTACGGAAACCCTCAGACAAAATGCACACCTAGGATGTAAGAAATTCTCACTTTATCCAAAGTTACTACAAGGACTTAAATGTGGTTTTACATGTATGGCCCAGACCTCCCTTGCAAAAGAGATGTGTGATCTCAATGACATTTGCCTTGTAAAACAAAGGTTAACAAATACATGTATACAGTAAGAAGTTAAAGGCTACTACTCAAAGTGTTTCATATAAACAAGATGCTTTATCAAACCAGGAGCATATTTTCATTTAATATTAATTTTAGTCATATTTATTCAAACTTTCTAAAGACTGACCTTTGCATTTTTATTAAGCTGCTTTCTGTCTCAAATGACTTATTTGATGACTATTATGACATATTTTTATTTACTGTAGTTTATTGTTGTCATTGTTTACTGTTATTGCTATCTGTACTTTACATGTTCTGTCTGGAACAGGTCCCTTTTGTAAATGAGTCCTCATGGCTCATTGCCTCTACCCAGAATGCAATGCACTGTAATGCTACAGTAGATTCCCAGAAACCCGTCGTAAGCTCAGAGGTGACAGGGCTTTCTCTGTTGCAGGTCCACGACTGTGGAATGAGTTGCCACTGAGTGTCCGGCAGGCTCCCACACTCTCAGTCTTTAAGTCTCGCTTGAAGACCCACTTCTATTCGCTTGCCTTTAACACGGTGTGATTTGTTTTGGTCCGGTCTGTTCTCTACTCTGTTGGCCATTTTAGTTAGCTTCTGCTGCTATTTGTATCTGTATTTCTATTTTATGTTTTCCTGTCTGCTGTGCATGTTTGTTTTCTT